ATAAAAAACAATTAAATTACTAATAAAAAATAATAATTAAAACTTATTGTCAAAAAAATTAAAAACTGTGGATTTTCATAGGGGAAATAGGGTAGTTTTTTCCCTTTTATAAAAAGATTATTAAATTATATCAAGATAACATGGCTTATTTTTATTCAATAATAGAAAGAAAACAATTTAAATCTGGATTAAAAAAAAGACAAAGAAGCCACGTCCTTTAAGAAAAAAACTTAAATTATCCATGATAAGATTTTAAATAATTAATTTAAAATTTGAATTTCAAACAATAACTAACCTTATCCCTAAAAAACATCTAAACATCATAATCCACATCTTGGAAAATAACTACATCATCCACATCTTCTTAAATCAACTCTTCTAAATATGACTCCAATTCCAAACATGTGTAAAACAAAAATCTGATTACACTTACAAAGATCATAAAAGCATATTTAGAGGAAGTATAGTATAGTATGTTGTGTGTATATATGTCATCGCTCTCAATTGTGTGAAATTGCTTGATTATGATTGAAGGAAAAGAAAGAAGAAACTAACGATAAAGAAATGGAAAAATTCTGAAGAATTTTATGGCGGAGGATCATGTTCTCTTCCGTGTTTGATTTTTGTTTTATATATCATGTTTGTTTTTGAATTTTATTTATTTTGTTTCATGTTTGACTCCTCTTTAATCTATTTTTATTTTTCTTTGTTTGGACAGATTGTAGTCATAGAATTGGAGGTAGCAGCTTTGTTGGCTCTTCAATATGAAAGGATGTAGTGTCAAAGGGTATAGAGATCATAAGTCTGAGAAGGTATATGTAATATATGACTGAGTAGTTTAATATGGATTTCAATTATTAAAATAAGTCTGGTAATTTATGTGCTACCTTTACTATTGATTCATGATGATTCATATAATTGTTCTATCCTATAGTGCTATTATTTTTTTACGTAATATGAATTCTCAAATTTTAGTCTTTCTTGCGTCCCTCTTATTCAGACTCATGGATAAATTAAGTCACTTGTATAATAATCATGTTCATTTCTTTATTATACACTTGAGTAGATAGACAGTGAACTCAAATGAATAAGAGGACATGGATGAGAGCAATGTATAAATTGAATTTACTCAACAATATTGGTAGATATATAGATGAAGTTGAACTATGTAAAAATAATTTCAAGCTGGATATAAATTTTTTGTTAAGTTATTGTAGACATTTCTTATTTAAATATAAAGCTTTGTGTATGAGATTTAAGCATTGTAGGTTATTGTTGTTGTGATGAGTGGTTTTCCATATTTAGCGTAACTATTTTTTAATATACTTGCTATTCATCCAATGTAATGAAGACATCAAATTATGAGTAAAATATGCTAACATTTTAACTTAATTAGTATATTTGTCTTAAACCAAATTAGACTTTTGAATATTTCATAGTGTTATTGTTTAACTATTTATGTTATATTTAACTTTTTGTAGCAATATTACTTTAGAAGTACTCTTTAGTTTTATAAAGTAGTTCGTGCTTATTGTATAATGTATTTTTTTCCCTTTTGTTGTCATCCGCGCATCACGCGGGCACGTATACTAGTACTATTAATGAGGAGAGGTTTTTGATAAATAAATTATTACCATGGAGAAGTTTCTAGAGCCTTGAAATGGAGTTAAAGATTTCATCTTCCTTTGTTAAACCCTTCGTTTTAGAGTTCATACCTACTTTGCTTTCAAAAGCTTTTCATTAAAATTACACATTACTTCTTTTTCTTTAGCTAGATCAACTTTCTGTGATTCAAGAATGTTCATGTATTAACATGAAAAGTAAATGAGCTTACCAAGCCTTGCGCGTACAAATCCAACTCTCATGCAAAAACACTCTTTTTCTTTCAACAAATTGTCCCAAATTTCAAGATGATCTCTAGGGGTCGAAATGTTGAAATCTCTAATGCATCCACAATTTCAGTAATAGTTCCAACATCTAGGTTAACATTTAAGCCACTTAGTAAATGGTTATGCATAAATTAATTTGAGGTGCGACAAAGATCATAGTATTTGGTCAAAAAGAGTGCCTGAACCTTTGAGTACATGATCAGTCCATTAAAAATAATGTTGAAACAATAATATTCCTTAATGAAACCCTTTAAGTCCACTCTCTATCATAAAAATCTAATGCTTTCATACTTTTAAGAGCCATTATATCTATTGTTTCCATGTTGATCTGTTACTGGACTGCGGTTCAAGGTTGACATTAACATGTCTTCTTCTGTTTGTCATCTAGATGAATATCAAGTAAATTAGGCTCCAAGTATTTCTACTCTTTTGTCATCTTGATGAATATATATAATAGGAGGCTCCAACCCAAACCTAGTCATTACATTTGAAAAAACCTTTTGAAAAATGGGTCACCTTCTATGCTATTGATGTCACATAACGATGTTGGATAAGCAAATTAACATAATACTCCCTATTCTTACTGTCCACGACGATATATTTCCCATTGGGACAGAGCTCCATTTCTCTCCTCGAACCCAATGATTCAACTTCACAAACAAATGTCAAGCCTAACACATCTTGATCCACTATCTCTGCATCCATATTCAGTATCTCCTTGTAGCTACGGTACAAGAACAGATCAGTGTCCCTAATGTCTTCCAATAAAACACCTTTTTTTCCAATTGCAAGAAAAATATGAGATAAAAAAATAACTCCAATTTGTACATCATATGCTAAGTCAAACACAATCATCCTACTAGAGAACCAGAAATACTCAAGGTGCAATAGATTCACTTCAGATGCTAGAGCAAGCACAAATGGAAGGAGATACTGAAAATGGAAAACATTTTATATGGAAAATATTTTCCTTCATAACAAACACTAGTTTTTCTTATTTTTGGTTGTAGGAAAATATTTTCCATGTAAAATATTTTTTCATATTAAATATCTCCTACCATTTGTTCTTGTTATAGCATCTGAAGTGAATATGTTACACCTTGAGTAATTCTGGTTCTTTGGTAGGGTGACTGTGTTGGGCTTAGCATATGATGTACAAATCAGAGCTTTTTTTTACTGCGTATATTTCTTGCAATTAGGTGGAAAGGTGCATTATTGGAAGGCATTAAGGATGCGGATCCGTTCCTGTACGGTAGCTGCAATGAGATACTGAATATGGATGCACATATAGTGGATCAAGATGTGTTAGGCTTGACATTTGTTTGTGAAGATGAGTCATTGTGTTTAAGGAGAGAAATAGAGCTCTGTCCCAATAGGAAAGATAATGTTGTGGACAGTATGAACAAGGAGTATTAGGCTAATTTGCTTATCCAACATCGTTGTGTTACATCAATAGTAGAGAAGGTGGCGTATTTTTAAAAATAATTTTTATATGTAATAACTAGGTCAAGGCTTGGAGCCTCCTATTATACATCAAAATGACAAAAGAGGACCAATACTTGAAGCCTAATTTACTAGATATTCATCTATATGACAAACAAGAATAAACCATGTTAATGTCAAACATGGACCGTGTTCCAATAACAGATTAACGTGGAAAAGATAAAGATAATGACTCTGCAGTTTATGAAAGCATTAGATTTTTGGGATAGAGAGTGGACTAAAAGGATGTGGTCAAGAAATATTCTTGTTTCAACATTATTTTTAATGGTCTGATCATGGACTCAAACGTTCTTCAACTCTTTTGGACCAAATATTATTATCTTTGTGTACTTGCAAGGTTTGCCTGATGATTCTTCTCCATTTCCAAGTGTGTATTCCTATTACTGTAAAAGAAGCATTTTTTTAGATATCTGCCCTCCAAAACCAAAAGATAGAGGGTTTGAGAGTTTGAATGTGTTTGATATTCAAAAAAGAAAGAGATATATCTCGTGATTTTTTGACCAAAATCTTTATGTACGCAACAACTAACAGGTCCTCCATCTCAACTAAAATAATAATCTTTGAAATTTTGTCATTCTTTCCTTTTCAGACATCTCCTCCTTGATGTTATTCGTGGAAGGAGGGATTTTTCTCTCTTACTTGTCACATTCAAAGAACTCATCATATCATACATCAACCTTGAATTACCCTTGTACATAATAAACATCTATAGTTCCTGATACACTCAAAATTACACCCTAAGATTATCTAATGCGGTGCTATGAAAATATAGTAATCCAAATAAAGTTGAGGTAAAATCCCACGAATAATAGGGCGAAAATGATAATAATTCAAGGAATAATTGATGCCTTGATTTCTATTCTATAAGAGTTGAAATGAATTTGTATAACTAAAGCTAGGATTCACAATATAACTAAGAGCTATAAACTTATAATATTAAAGCATCAATCTTGTGTCCCAACAATACAATGCACCATTTGTCAAAGATAATATAGTGATCAAACATGGTTGGGGTCAAACCCCACATAATCGAAGCAATTATTTAATAGTCACAACAACATCCAATGGGCGATGAAAACTCTTCTTTGCGTTGATCATAAACTCTTCTTTGCATTCATCATAAACCAAGTGTGAATATGCACATTCATGCATCTCTTTTTTTTTTTACCAAAACCATAGTGTTGAAAAATGCAACACTTGTGAAGTTTTTATTCGGTATAATATAGTGTTCAACAAATCTTATTGTAGCAATAATTTGGTTAAGTAATTTCTTTGTTAATGATAAAAGAAAGCCCAGTGGACTAAGCTATCTATTTATAGAGCACGTACCATTGTTGTAAATATGGATAAGTCATGTTCAGTCAATTTAGGCTTTAAGTTTGTAAAGTTAATTATTCAGTTAGTGTAGGACATGTAAGTTTATCAGTTCCTATTTTCTAGAAGTTAGGTTAGCACGATCTTTTTTGTTAACGTTGTATAAGAACTCCATTGGAGGCTCATTAATAAACATACAATTTCATTCTACTTTTGTGCATATATGGTATCAGCGCTAATATACTCTAACAAGTACGCCATCCAAGATCTAATAAAAACAAATTTTGCACACAAATGTCCCCTTCCACCTCTGTGGTTAATGTCAACGCAGCTCCAGTCCTCAAACATCTGATTCAATTCAACCCTTCCTCACAGCTGCCCATTAAATTGTCTGGCAACCACATTTTTACGATCTGGAAGGCTGAGATTGCCATGCTGCATCATGGCCATGACCTCTATAGTAATCTTGATGGCACTAAATTGTCCCCACCTGAAACAGTCACCACTAATGGCCATGAGACTGCCAACCCCGAGTACACGGATTGGTTTTGTCAGGATAAACTAATCCAAAATGCTCTCATGGCTTCTATTGATGCCACAATTGCATCCACTATAGCTTACCCGCTCACCTCCAAAACTAGTGTGGGATCAACTTCACACTTCCTTTGCGATCAAATAGCAGAACCGCATCTTCAACCTTCATCACCATCTCAATCAAGTCAACAAAGACCACAAATGAATTGATGAATATATACGAGAGATTCTCTCTCTCTCCGATGAACTCGCCATAGCAGGTTCACCCGTCAATAACAAAGAACTTGTGGTGAAAGTATTGAGTGGCCTTGGGCTAGAGTTCTGTGAGATCTCAGCGGCCATACCAGTACATGACTCTCCAATAAGCTATGAGGAACTCTTTGATAAGCTTCTGGATCATGAACTATTCATCAAACATGAGGATCTCAAGATTACTACCACCCAGGTCACTGCAGTTGTTTCTCAACGTGTGACAAATCCTCCATCAGTCCCATGCCATAATCGGTGCCCACCAAACAATAATAATTGGCGTCCCCAAAATAGGCAGCCCTCTCATTGAAACACTTCCCAGCATCCCGTTGATAATTCTCAGTGGCGCAACTTCCCACACCATTCTTCACGAGTCCGCTGTCAACTTTGTGACAAATTTGGACATACGGCAAGTGTTTGCTGCCCTCGGTCCCATAGCAGCTTTGAACCAAAAGTAAATTTTGTTGCACAAACAATGCCAAATGACCCCTAGATTCTTGATTCAGATGTGTCTCACTATATTAACTATGATACCAACTCTCTTTGCAATGTTCAGGACTTCAAAGGGATCGAGGAACTGACAATGGGTATCAATAATGTGATTCTAATTACTCAAGCTAGTACCACTCATTTGAATGCTTCAAATACTACTTTTTCTCTAATATTTTGTGTGCTTCCGTTGTCAAGCGCAAACTTGTTTCAGTGCATCAATTTTGCAAAGATAATATAACCTCAATATAATTTTATCCTTTTAAATTTCTTATGAAGGATATGACTATAGGAACAACTCGATTGTGCGGCTTGAATAAAACACGTCTCTAGGAATTGCCATCACTATCTCGACTACACATCAACCTCACAATTGCTGGACCTTCCCTACATATGTGGCATCGAAGATTGGGCCACCCCCATTCTCTAGTTTTATTTTCAATTTTACGTATTTCATGTCTTTCGTATTCTTCCAAGGACAAGTTCAGTTTTTGTAATTCTTGTTGTTGCAATAAACCACAAAAATTTCCATTTTCTTCCAACACTTTGTCCAGTAGCTTTCTATTAGAAATAATTTACAATGATCTGTGGGGCCCATCCCCTGTTCTCTCTATTGATAAAAAATTATACTATTTTTTCTTTGTTGATCAGTTCATCAAATACATTTGGTTTTACACAGTGAAAAACAAACATGAGGTTCGAAAACACTTTCAAAGCTTACATCCCGAGCGCGAAAACCATTTTGGTAACAAAATACTTACACTATACACTGATGGAGGCAGAGAATATAAGACCATGGAACCATACCTCATTCCAATGGCATACAACACCTTGTTTCTCCCCGTCACACTCCTCAAGGTCGACCTAGCTAAAAGACGTCATCGACACCTTATTGAGACAGTCAAAACGCTGTTTCACCAAGCTAGTTTACCCTCCAATTTTTGGACATTTGTCTGCCATCATGCTACCTTTCTCATAAACTATGGAGGAGTGTTGAGTTTGCTTTTAGTTACTACAGTCATTTTATAAAATAATAAGTTACCTAGTTTTAAGATGAATTTGAATTTTAAATATTTATTAGGTTGTTTTAATTGTTGAGATTATTTAGTCTTTTTAAATTTTTGTTATGCTGATTATTCTGCAGATTATGTTATCAAGTTGGCTATGTAAAGCCCTATTATGCTTAATAAAATATTGAGAGACATTTTCCATAATTTTGTGCTGCCACATTTTTTTAAAAACACCAATAATTCAAAGTTCTTTTCAAAGAGGCACCCGTATATGAATCTCTTCGTACATTTGGTTGTCTATGCTAACCATGGCTCCGACATATGCTCAACACAAATTAGAGTCGTATTCCAAGCCTTTTGTCTATCTCGATTATTCGGTCACCCATATTGTCATCAGTGTTTTGAATCTACAAGCTCCAAACTTTTCTCTCACGGGATGTAAAATATTTTGAGGATATTTTCCCTTTTGCTAATATGTTTTCCCACTTAAAATAAAAGTTTTCATATTTAAACTGGGAGAATACTTTAAACCAAAACAATTCAAATCTGGATATTAATTCCAACACCACTACTCCAGATCACACACTACTTCCCCCACCATTCCATTGATACGAGATACACGCCAAGATGATTGCTTATTTCGTGTTCCACTGAGAAAGAAACCACAGTCAGATCATTTCACCATTTCGGCTCCAGGTAATCTTCACACTACTTCCCTATCCCTTGACTTCCATCAGATTTCCCCTATTGTAGATTCCGTTCCCATTTCATATTTCAAAGCCACCCCTACCCTCTCTACTTATCCTCTCACATTAGATCGCCGACTACCGATTACTCATAGTTATCACCGACGCTCCAACTCATCACCCAATATACCGACCCAATACCTCACCTCTCACAGCGGTGTGCATAGTTGCAGTCTCACTTTACCTCCCCCCACTGAACTTGTAGCTCAAATTCCACCAATCGAGAACAATTGTGCAGTAACAAGGTCACAAAACAACATTGTCAAGCGGTGCAAAATAGTTGACTACACTACCCACATAACCCAAATAGTACCAATTCTACATGTCAACGAAAAACAAGCACAAAAGATCCCATATTGGAGAGATGCTATGCAGCTTGAGTTTGATCCACTCATAAAGGATCATACTTTGGAGTTTGTTCCACCAAACCTTACCAGGAATGTTGTTCCCTATAAATGGTTCTTTTGAATTAAAACTAAGTCTGATGGATCCATTGATATGGACAAAGTACATTTAGTTGCAAAAGGGTTCACCCAAAGGCCTAGGGTTGATTTTGATAAAACATACCATAGAGTGGTTAAACCCACAATAATTCGGACTATCTTCACCCTTGTTGTAAAGAACAATTGGGCACTTTATCAAATAGATGTCAATAATGTTTTTCTTCAAGAGAAGCTTAAGAAAGAAATGTATATGACTCAACAACCCAGATATAAAAATTCTACATCCTGACTAAGTCTGCCATCTCCAAAAGGCTATCTACGGCCTGCAACAAGCTCCCAAAGCTTGGTATGACGCACTTTATGATTCTTTGATCCGGATGGTGTTCAAGATGTCTGAGTCAGATAATTCTCTCTTTGTTCTGCATAATTGGGCATAACTATTTATATCCTTATAAATGTGGATGACATCATACTAACAGGAAGCAATGAAACACTTCTTAAACAAGTCATTACCTCTCTTTCCAAAAAAAATCTCTTAAATACCATGGCTTATGCAGTATTTCTTGGGAATTGACGTACGTTGGGTTGTTAACGATTTGTTTCTCCGTCAATCTAAGTATATACATGAGGTGCTATATGAAATTCAAATTCATGACTACAAAGGCATTCAATCTCTAATGAGTACGTCAGTGGCACTACTCATAGATGACGGAGCCCCCAAAACTGATGGAAAAGAGTATAGGAGTGTACATGGGAAGCTTCAGTACCTTTCTTTTACACGGCTTGACATCACTTATATTTAGTAAAAAAGCTCATTCAGTTCAACACTTATCCCTCTGTTGTTCACTGGAAGGCTGTTAAACGTATCCTTCGGTATCATAAAAAAACATCCCACCATGGTATTCATATATCTCCATCGTAGTCCACTAATCTCTATACCTATGCGGATGCCGATTAGGCAGGTGATACTAATGATTGTCGATCCATCTCTGGTTACATTGTTTTTCTTAGCTTGACTCTTATTTCCTAGTATTTTTGTAAGCAACCTATTGTCTCCCGCTCCTGCACTGAGGCCGAGTATCGGGTTGTTGACTCTACCTTGTCTGAAACGAACAAGATCACTCACTATCTCAAGGATCTTCATGTCCCGCTCTCTGCTGCTTGAATAATGATTTGTGAAACCTTGGGGTCACATAGATTGTTGAAAACCCAGTCCATCATACAAAAGGAAGCACTTAGAGGTTAATCTTCACTTTATTCCCCAACATGTCCACAATGGTCTAGTCTAAGTTTCCCACATTCACTCCACTTATGAAATTGCAGATCCGCTCACTAAACCATTCTCTAGGGTAGTGATGAGTCCACATTTTGGACTCATTTAGGGATTTATTTTAATAGATTAAGTGTCTTCAAATGCATATTTGTGCCAAAGACTGATGTAAATCCTTGATTTTTCAAGTATTTGGATTGAGGAACAAAACATGGACACTAATGAGCAAAAAGGAACAAGGCAGCTGAAAGAACGAAGAAAAAAAGGTTTGATGATCGCCTAACCCATTAGGCGAGTCACCAAATGGACATGATCTTGCCTAAAGTTCTAGTGTGCCAAGCTTTAAAGGAGAAAATCAAGTCGGCGATAGAAAGGAGCAGTCGGCGAGTCTCCGAATGGTTCCGCGATGCAGTGCTAGATCACCCAAAGTTACAGAACTTGAAGAAGTTGAAGGCCAAAGGAAAAAGGCGATGGAATTGACCAAAGGAACAAGGCAGCTGAAAGAACGAAGAAAAAAAGGTTTGATGATCGCCTAACCCACTAGGCGAGTCACCGAATGGACATGATCTTGCCTAAAGTTCTAGTGTGCCAAGCCTTAAAGGAGAAAATCAAGTTGGCGATAGAAAGGAGTAGTCGGCGAGTCTCCGAATGGTTCCGCGATGCAGTGCTAGATCACCCAAAGTTACAGAACTTGAAGAAGTTGAAGGCCAAAGCAAAAAGGCGATGGAATTGACCAAAGGGTGGATTGCCGAGTGGATCGGCGATCCCAACTTATTGCGCTGAATGGTCCTTCGCAACACATTTTTGGCGACTATAAATACATTTTTGAATATTTATCTATATATCTATCTATCTATTTAATATTGAATATCAGTTTTTCAGTTTTAGAGTTTGCATTTTTAGAACTGAAAGTATTGAGACAATATTTTCCTTAGCTTTGAAGATTTGAAGACTTCCATTTTTGAGAAATTGGAAGTGGGTCTTTGAGATTCTTTAACCATGACCTTTATAAATACGAAATTAATCTTACCCAGTTAATGGAAACACAATTTGGTAACGATTTTCATCTTTTTATGATGTCTTTCTAAAACTTCAATTCTTAGGGTGTGATTATGGGTTGATTTAGCTACTGGGTATTGTTAATTGATAGTCTAAATGTTGTTTAAAAGTGATTTCATTCAGTATTGTGGCTTAATCTAAAAGGTTGTAGTTGCAAATGCAACTCTACCTTCGTGTTTTTGTCTTGCTCGAGAGAGAGGTTTTAAAATCAAGATTACTTATTTGATGGTATGTGGGTATTGGGTTGTCATGGGTTCAGCTTGAGAGAGTGAATCCCAAACCCTTTTCCACACATTCAGCTTGAGAAAATGAATGGACTAAAGCGTACGTTGTTCTTAATTGCTGCTTGTTGGTGTTTGAGAGAAACTAACTTGATTCGGGGTAAATTGTTCGAGAGAAAGTTTATCCCCACTAAAGTCTAGCTTAGTCACTGATTTACAA